TAAACGATGGATAAAGGACTTCAAATGGATAAAGAACTTAAAGGTAAGACAGGAAACCATAAGAATCTTAGGAAAAATCAATAGGCAGCAAAATACCAGACATGTTGTAGCAATATCTGCCTATATAGTTCCTAGGACAATGGAAATAGAAGATAAATGCAAATACATCAAAATAAAAAGTTTCTGCACAGCAAAAGAAACCATTAACAAAACAACAAGTGAGCCCACTATATGGAAGAACAATATTTGCCAATATCTAAGTTTTAATCTCCAAAAATTACAGGAATTCAAACAGTTTAACAAAAGGAAGATAATCCAAGAAAAGAATGGGTAAAAATCCTAAATTAAGCTTGTCAAACTTTCAGCCCACAACAAGTATTTTTGCAGCCCAGCCAATATAACAGTATATAAGAAATGTTTTAATAAAAATTTCATAACTTAATTTTTATAATATCCTGTTGACTATTATAATCATGTTGCATTCATTTCCCTTCTACACAGGCACACCATTTCTCTCCACTAATACTAGCAGCGAATATTTTAGCAGCCGATTGCCATAACTTGTTTGGTGTGCTGTGCGCAACAAGAAATATTTCGCTTTCGGAGAACAAGAAAAATAGGTTTATTTGTGTTACGCTTATTAATTTGTGCAGTTATTCAGTGTCTGATAAATGTTCAAGAAAATATTTATTATAAAAATATTAATTCTGAGTTGCCCGTGGAGAACAAAGGGGTGCCACAGGCCAACCTGCTGAGCTCCCAGGACAAGGAGGAAGAAACCAAAGAAATTCTCAATGTGAAGAAATCAAGTGAGAGCAAAAGATAGTAAAATTACTTAAGAAAGAGAGAGATCCAAGATGGCTGCTCGGGTAGACATCTAGCCGCGGCAGCACACAACAATTTCAGTGGAATACAACTAAGATGTAGAGTGGACATTGCCCAGAGCTACAGGTAGTCGACTGACTGAAATTTCTACAACAAGAAGGAAAGAGAAAACCAGAAAGAAAATCAGAGGAGCTGAAAAAAAAAGCCTAAGGTACGGAGACATGCTGCGCGCCTGCCCGCGCGCGCGCGCGCGCGCGCGCAGAAAGGTCGCAGCCGGAGAGGAGGAGAGGGCGGGGTGCTGCCTTTCCCTTCCTAGCAGGAAGGAAATAAAACCCCCAGCCTGGGCTGGACCCTCGAACCGGCAGCACTGAGCCCCCGGAACCAGCAGCGCTGAGCCCCAGTTATGGGCCAGACCCTGGGGACCCAGGCTCCGGCAGGAGGAGACGGGGCTGTGAGACCGAAAAGCAGCGAAAAGCAGGGCGCCTGGGAGTCGCGCGCAATGCGCGCGCAGAGGACTAAATGTTGACTCTGATGCTGGGTTACCCTAGCCGGAAGAAACAAGGCCTCCAGTGGCGCTGGGCCTCAGTCCGGACTGCTCCGAACCCCAGTTCTGGGCCAATCCCTGGGGACCCAGACTCAGGCAGAGGAAGACGGGGCTGTGAGGTGGAGTCCGGGGAGAGCGGCGAAAGGCCGGGCCCCCGGAGTTGCGCACATACTGCGCACAGAGGACAGTCTGTTGACTATGATGCTGGACTCCCCTAGCGGGAAGGGAAAAAAAGCTCCAGGCTGGGGGAACACGGCGGGGAGCAGGAGCCCCTGCCGGACGCCGGCCAACTGGGCACCAGCAAAGAGCCCGGCAACGGGGCCCCTAGGAGGGGGTGCCCCTGAGCCTTCCACCGCTGAGCGCGGGCAATGGAGCCAAGGCCAGGGGGGCTGCTTCCTGGGCGGCGCTGTCCCCGGCAACAGGCTAAAGCAGCGCAGGATCCCGCGGAGAACAAAGGGGTGCCACAGGCCAACTAGCTGAGCTCCCAGGACAAGGAAGAAGAAACCAAAGAAGTTCTCAATGTGAAGAAATCAAGTGAGAGCAAAGGATAGTAAAATTACTTAAGAAAGAATACAAAGAAGTTCTTGAAAAATCAAAGACTAAGTCAGAACTCAACAGCCAACATTGCAACATAAATGCGTTTAAAAAAAGAAAAAAGAAAGAAAAAAAAAAAAGGACAGAATGTTGGAACAGTGGCGGCCAGGCCTAGGGTGGCCTGGCACAAGGCAGTGGCAGCCAGGCCCGGAGCAGCAACGGCCAGGCCCCAGAGCAGCAGCAGCCAGAACCAGAGCATCAACAGCCAGCACTGGAGCAGCCATACCTGGGGCAGTGGCAGCCAGGCCTGAGGCGGAGGCGGCCAAGCCCAGGGTGGCCAGTCCAGGAACAACCAGACCCGGAGTGGCCGGGCCCGGAGAAGCCAGGCCCAGAGCAGCCGGGGTGGGAGCAGCCAGACCCAGAACAGCAGTAGCCAAGCCCAGAGCATCCAGGCTGGGAGTGCCCAGGCTCGGAGCGGCCGGGCCCGGGGTAGCCGGGCCCAGAGCAGGCGGGTCGGGTGCAGACAGGCCCGGAGCAGCGGCTGCCAGGCTGGGAGCGGCCAGGCCCGGGGGAGCAGGCGGGTCGGGTGCGGCCAGGCCCGGAGCAGCGGCTGCCAGGCTGGGAGCGGCCAGGCCCGGGGGAGCAGGCGGGTCGGGTGCGGCCAGGCCCGGAGCAGCGGCTGCCAGGCTGGGAGTGGCCAGGCTCGGGGGAGCAGCCGGGTCGGGTGCGGCCAGGCCCGGAGCAGCGGCTGCCAGGCTGGGAGCGGCCAGGCCCGGGGGAGCAGCCGGGTCGGGTGCGGCCAGGCTGGGAGCGGCCAGGCCCGGAGCAGCCGGGTCGGGTGCGGCCAGGCCCGGAGCGGCAGCTGCCAGGCTGGGAGCGGCCAGGCCCGGAGCAGCAGCAGCCAAGTCCAAGCAACTAGGTTGGGAGCGGCAGTGACCAGACCCGGAGCAGCTGCTTGTGGAACGAACCAGAGCAACTGAGGCCAGGCCCTGAGCAGCCAGGCCCGGAACAGCTCGCTCCTTGCCTGCCCCTGCCCCACAGCTGCTTCTCAGACATGGCTGGAAACTTTTGTGGGAACTTGAGGGTTCTGCTGAATCAAGTGATGAAGGCTTAGATCTGGATGTGTTGAGTTAGTATAGGGCTGGGGTGTTGATCTGTGAGTGCCTTGGGTGGGGCCTGGATGAGGCTGGTGGACCTATTGGGAAATGTCTTTTGTGTGAAGTGTATCATTGGGCATGTGGAGGTATTATTGATATGAGAAAATGCTAAGTAACTGATTTACTATCTGAAAAGGGATTTACTATTGGGGAAAGGGAGGGAAGAAGAAACTGAACATAAACTGCACCTATGGATGAGGACAATGGGGGATGGGGAGGGGTCAGAGGGTGGGGTGGGAACCTGGTGGAGGGGGGAAGAAATGAGGAAACTTTGTAATAATATGAACAATAAAGATTTATTTAAAAAAATTAAAAAAAAATATTAATTCTATTTTATGTTAATGATTACTCATTTATTTCAGCCCTTTGTATTCAGCATGTTTCTATGAAAATTGAAGCTTTTATTTTTTTTCGGCCCATATAAACTTGAACCTTATTTATTTGGCCTGTGTTAGCCTTTGAGTTTGACATGCTTGTCCTAAATAGACATCTTTCGAAAATGGACATACAGAAGGCCAAGAGACATATGAAAACATGCTCAAAGTCACTAATCATCTGAGAGATGCAAGTCAAAACAATAATGAGGTACCATCTCACACCTGTCAGAATGGCTATCAACAACAAATCAATGAACACCAAGTGCTGGCGAGGATGTGGAGGAAAAAGGAACCCTTGTACACTGCTGGTGGGAATGCAGACTGGTGCAGCCACTGTGGAAAACAGTATGGATTTTCCTCAAAAAATTAAAAATGGAACTTTCTTTTGACCCAGTAATTCCACTCCTAGGATTATATCCCAAGAAACCAAAAACACCAATCAGCCCTAGCTGGTTTGGCTTGGTGGATAGAGCATCGGCCTGCAGACCGATGGGTCCCGGGTTCAATTCTGGTCGGGGGCACATGCCTAGGTCCAACCTGCAGGAGGCAGCCAATCAATGATTCCCTCTCATCATTGATGTTTCTATCTCTTCCACTCCCTTCCTCTCTGAAATCAATAAAAATATTTTAAAAATGACCAATCAAAGGCTCCAGTGGCGCAATCGGTTAGCGTGCGGTACTTATAAAAATGACCAATCAGAAAGGATATATGCACCCCTATGTTCATAGTAGCACAATTTACAATAGCTAAGATTGGAAACGGCCTAAGAGCCCATAGCAGATGAGTGGACTAAAAAACTGGTACATCTACACAATGGAATCACCACACTGCTGTAAAAAAGAAAGAACTCATCGTTTGTAATAGCATGGATGGACCTAGAGAACACTATGCTATGTGAAATAAGCTAGTCGGAGAAAGATAAATATCGCATGATCTCATTCATTTGTGGAATATAATAAACAACATAAACTGATGAACAAAAATAGAGGCAGAAGCATTGAACAGAAGCATTGAACAGACTGTCAAACCTCAGAGGGAAGGTCAGGGAAGAGGGGCAAGAGATCAACCAAAGGACTTGTATGAATGCATATAAGCAAAACCAATGGACAAAGACAGTAGTTGGGTGAGAGTATGTACTGGGGGGGGAGGGTGAGAGTAGCTGGGGGGAGGTCAATGGGGGAAAAAGGAGACATGTAATACATTAAACAATAATGTAATTTTTTTTTAAAGCTATATTGACTCTCCAAAAGGGAGTGAAAAAGAACCATTTGACATGAGTTTGTGTGTTTTTAAAAAAATTTTATTTTTTTTTAGAGGAAGGGAGAAAGAGAGGAGGAAACATCAGTGTGATAGCTAACATTGATCAGCTGCCTCCTGCATTCTACCTACTGGGGATTGAGCCCATGATCCTGGTATGTGCCCTTGACTGAGAATTGAATCAGCAACCTTTTGGTGCTTGGGATGATGCCCAATCACACTGGCCAGGGCTACAACTTAATATTGTTTGACCCAAGATGAGGAGAGGTTTGGAATGGATTTGTGATGAAATCTTTGTCTGGCAGGTTCATCCTGACAAAAACCATCATCCCCGGGCTGAGGAGGCCTTCAAGGTTCTGCGGGCAGCTTGGGACATCGTCAGCAATCCTGAGAGGCGGAAGGAATATGAGATGTAAGTTGGAGATAGGAAATTGTCAGGTGGTGTAAATGAATAATCTTCAATAGCAGAGGTCCCTGGAGTTGTGGGTGAATGCCCTCTAAGGTGGAGAAAATTGCTTGTCTTTCTAGTAAGCCAAAGTCCTTTCAGAGGCCAATAGATCTGTCTCCTTTTATCCCTTGCTCAATACTCTCTGATTTACAAAGCCTTTCTTCTCTTAGGAAACGAATGGCAGAGAATGAGCTGAGCCGGTCAGTGAATGAGTTTCTGTCCAAGCTGCAGGATGACCTCAAAGAGGCAATGAATACGATGATGTGCAGTCGATGCCAGGGAAAGCACAGGTATGAAATAGGAATGTAACAGCCACAGCTTAGGGGTTCGGTAGCCAAAGACCTTCTTTGTATTATTGGTAGTTGTGGGATAGAAATGGTAAAAGAACCCTTGGGTTTCCACTCTGTCATATTGTAGAGATTGGGGATTCTAATTAGTAAGAAAAAAAAAAAAAGCCCAGTTGGTGTGGCTCGATGGTTGAGCATTGACCTATGAACCAGGTGGTCACAGTTTGATTCCTGGTCAGGGCACGCCTGGGTTGTGGGCTTAATCCGTGTGGGGCATGCAGGAAGCAGCCAATTAACGATTCTTTCTCATCATTGATGTTTATCTCTCCCTCTCCCTTCCTCTCTGAAATCAATAAAAGTATATTTTAAAAAAGACATTTTTGACCTTTAAGTTAGAAGATTGAGAGAAGGGTGTGCATAGGCATATGTAATAACACGTAATGAGACTACAGAAATGTCACAGGCTTAACAAATGATTAAGGAATTGTCCTTCTGTTGGGTTGCAGGAGGTTTGAAATGGACCGGGAACCTAAGAGTGCCAGATATTGTGCTGAGTGTAACAGGCTGCATCCTGCTGAAGAAGGAGACTTTTGGGCAGAGTCAAGTATGTGGGGCCTCAAGATCACCTACTTTGCACTGATGGATGGAAAGGTGTATGACATCACAGGTACACTTCTGTTCTGTAGAAATACGGGCTCATATATACTTACATGATGTAGGAGCTAATTCTTTCTCATGTGTGCAGAGTGGGCTGGATGTCAGCGAGTAGGAATCTCCCCAGATACACATAAAGTCCCCTATCACATCTCATTTGGTTCTCGGATGCCAGGCACCAGTGGGCGACAGAGGTAAGTGATAGTTCTTTCAATAATCTATCCACTATTCTAGTTCTGAATATGGTCCTTAGGACACCTAGATGTCTTACCCTTTAAGAAGCTACCAACTTACCAAAACCGGTTTGGCTCAGTGGATAGAGTATCGGCCTGCGGACTAAAAAGTACCTGGTTCAATTCCAGTCAAGGGCATATACCTTGGTTGCAGGCACATCCCCAATAAGGGGTGTGCAAGAGGCAGCTGATCGATGTTTCTCTCTCATCGATGTTTCTAACTCTCTATCCCTCTCTCTAAAAAAATCAATAAAATATATTTATTAAAAAAAAGAAAAAAGAGCCCTAGCCGGTTTGGCTCAGTGGACAGAGCATCAGCCTGCGGATTGAAGGGTTCCGGGTTCGATTCCAGTCAAGGGCACATGCCTGGGTTGCGGGCTCAATCCCTAGTAAGGGACGTCAAGGAGGCAGCTGATCCACCATGATTCTCTCTCATCATTGATGTTTCTCTCCCTCCCTCTTCTTTCCTCTCTGAAATCAATAAAAGTATATTTAAAAAAAAAAGAGAGAGAAATAAATAAATAAATAAATAGGAAAAAAAAACAAAAAACCCCAACTGACTCAATATATCTTTAACATATATTTCCCAGCGTATAAGACGACCCCCTAATTTTACGATTAAAATATAGTTTTAGGCCTATATTCGCTGTATAAGACTACCCCCCACTTCAAAGAAAAGACTTTTCCATCAAGATCTCCAGGTAATTTTTGTGTAATTTTGGTTTTTTGCCCCTGATTTTCGGTTGACTTTTTTTCGTTTCAAAAGTCGTCTTCGGCCGAAACCGGTTTGGCTCAGTGGATAGTGTGTCAGCCTGCGGACTGAAAGGTCCTGGGTTCGATTCCGGTCAAGGGCATGTACCTTGGTTGCGGGCACATCCCCGATAGGGGGGTTGTGCAGGAGGCAGCTGGTCAATGATTCTCTCATTGATGTTTCTGGTTATCTATCCCTCTCCCTTCTTCTCTGTAAAAAAATATAATATAATAAATATAATATTTAAAAAAAAAAAAAAAAGTCGTCTTCGGTAGTTACCTGTGTTTGACTTTAATCTCTCTTGCCTCATTGTTCTGTTTTCCTTTCAGAGCCACTCCAGATGCCCCTCCTGCTGACCTTCAGGATTTCTTGAACCGGATCTTTCAAGTCCCCCCGGGACAGATGTCCAATGGGAACTTCTTTGCAGCTCACCCTGGCCCTGGGGCCACCACAGCTTCCAAGCCCAACAGCACAGTACCCAAGGGAGAAGCCAAACCGAAGAGGCGGAAGAAAGTGAGGAGGCCCTTCCAACGTTGACACTTGTTTTCTTCTTTCCTCAAATCAATGTCAGGGAGTCAAAAGGGCTGTGTACAGCACAGGATGGAGTTTGATTTATTTTTAAGTATTTTAAAAAGGGAAACTTTTAAGCTCAAATTGTTCACTCAATACTTATAAGAAGCCCCAGAACCATTCTCCTCCTCCACCAGTACCCAGGAACTGAATCTTGTCGTCTGACAATACCAAAGAAATAGGGGGTGGCTGCAGCAAAGAACCGAGGGCATGGACCTGGGCTGGACAATATCTCCTGGAGGAGTGTGGGAACTGGGGATTTCCCTAGGGTCTGTATGCCTTTGTCTTGTCTTTTGCTTCTACAGCAGATGACTTTCCCCCTCTTTTTAAACTATGTCTATCTTATTTCTTGACCCATTTCAGGGCTCCCTCCTGAATATACTAGTTAGCCCAATACTAGTTAAAAGAGAGAACAAGAAAGCATGTAATCCTAATTATAGGAGATGAGAGTTCAGAGTGGGAACTCTGAATTTTTCCGGTGACTGTCACCTTGTGGGTAACTGCCCAACTTCATGCTTATTGCTGCAGGGATGGCCAAACTAATAATTAAAAAAAAAAAAAAAAAAATCAGACTCATGCCCTCTGCCCTTGTGTGAGGGGATAAAATAAAGGGGCTCCTGGTAGCCCCCTTATGATCCAAGGGTTTGTATTTTTTTAAGTTTGTTGATATTTGTATGTACATAACTATTTAAAGCCAGGGGATTATCTTTCTATAAATGTGTAACTGGCAACCTGTTTCTTCCCTTTCTTCTTTGCCTTTATAGATAGTGTCCTTTTCCTCATTTGAGAATCCTCTCTCCAAGTGTTAGCTGGGAGTGAAGGACACCTCCTGAACCGAAGGAGAGGGGATAAAAATATCTTAGAGAATTTAATACACAATGATTTAATACACAATGTGTATTAAATCACTGTTCTGTCTTCCCCAGCCTTAGGAGGACATCTCCCTACCCTCCCTGCTGACCAAAGAGTAGCCATATCTGAAAAAATATATATATATATGACCTTTATTATGAGGGAAATACACAGCAAAACAGAGCTGGAAGGTAGTGGGGTTGGAAGACATGGAAAAATCATACAAGCTGCCCAAACATGGCCTCCTGTGGAGGAGTGATTTGTCCCTTACCTCACTTGCCTTTCCTGATTCAAAGAAGCCTGCTCCTAGCAGGGCTACTCCCAGGGAGCCCCATTTTCCAATCTGTTCTCGTCCTGGGAGTTTTGGAACAGTTGTATAGTTCTCAGGCTTCCAAGAAAAGGAAGACAGTATGGAGAAGAGAAAGATGTTACAGCCTTTTGTTCCGATGTGGTCCCCAGTCCCATCCCTCAGTATTTATTGATGCCAAAGAGACGAACCCCATGGAATTGGGGCAATTTAGGCAGCAGTACGCTGAGCAAGGAGGCTGTGTTGATGAGGAAGTGAGCAGCGTCATACTTGGTGTAGAAGCTGGCTAGGAGGTAGCTGGAAGAAAAGAAAAAGGTTGAGTGAAGCTGGCCCTTCCAGTGACTTTCTCTTCTATTTTAATGATCAGTTTTATTGCATATAGTCCTAGGATATTTGAAAATATCTGAGGGGTCAGGGAGATAATGAGCACCTTTAACTGGAGATTTTTAAGTTAGTGTGTTTAATAATTGCTAATGACACGTGGCAAATGATAGCTGAAGCAGTTTCAGCCTGAATCACTGTTAAATCCTCTGTGCTTCCACTCCCCAAAGCCAGTTTTCACAGATTTACCTCAGTTCTGCCTTGATTTATTCACATCTTTTGGAAATGTAAAATCAGTTGGTTTTACTTGGTTTTCCCATCTCCGTTCTCCTACCACCAAGGAAGCAGCAAAGAATGCTTGATTATTGCTTTCTATTTTTTACTGCACTCCCTAGATTTAGACCTAGTATGCCATAATATCTTCAAAGGGTCTAAGTGATTAGTCTGCTTTTTTTAAGTTCCCTTGTGGGCCCCTGTGCCTGGCTCTTGGAGCATTTCCCATATCTCCCACTGGACTCACAGTATAATAGGAGAGATGCTGAGGAATTTTCGGGAAGAGGTGAACTGGAGCCCGTAGTCCATCTGTTCCCAGTGTGTCAGTAGCCGAGCCTTTCCTTGGTCAGGGGTCTCAAAGGGTGTCCCTTTCACTGTATGTAGGAAGACATACATGGCCTGGGAGGAGAGAAGGGAGCAGTCTGAAGGGGCAGAATATGGTCCTTTAGCCCAAGGATGAAGATCCCAAAGGAAGGCATATCTCCAAATAATTGGGGATTTTACTTTGTTTGGGAAAGGCCTGGGGTGGGTATAAGGGTGTGGGTTAGCGCTCACCAAGTTATGGATGACGTTGGTCAGGGTCCAGACAACAGGAATGCTGAAGAAGGGGATGCTGAGTAGCACCACATGCAGCAGTCCTACCAAGATGATGTAGGCCAGCCAGATGCCCCGGCTATTCATCACTCGGGTGTTGGGGTTTACTTCGCTGTGTGCTACTCCCACATTCATCCTACCACAGTGGCGGGTCAGGCAGGAGTCCACCTCTAGTTCCTCTCAACCCCTCTTTGATTTTTTTTTTTTGCCCTCCCACATCGTCTCCTGAGTATCTCAAATCCCCTGAACTGTATTGGGAATGAGAGAAACATCCCCATCGTGCACAAAGAAAAACTGAAGGCTTGGGAGGTAAAATTCTTGAAAGGCAAGAAGAGTCCTCTCTACATCTTAGACACACCTGGTAATCTTTGATTCTTATACTTCAGCTTGAAGGAGTAAGTCTAGGAGTGGGCACCTACTTCAAGGAGCAAGGGAAACAGCAGTATTTCACTTTATTTTCCTCAAGTTGTTAATAAGGAAGCCTGAAGAAGTTACATAAACCCATAATTCCAGAAGCAGGTAATGGTAAACAGGATTCACTAAGGGGGCGTGAGGGGGTAAAGCTACTTCCAATCCTCACCTTCACCCTGGGGCTTGCCCGTCCTCTCATCCCAGCAGCCAACATCCCAATTCCTTCTCTCAAGCGTGGGGCTTTGGGAGAATTTACCCAGGATTTTGGGTTGAGCTGGGAAGGAACCTAAGTTGAGAGCCTCCAGTTGGATCCCTAACCCCAAATCCAAAGGCGGCTCAGATCGTCTGCACTTGGCTCCTTAAAACCGTGCTGGTCTAAAGTTGATGTGTAGTTAGGAAGCACCTCTCTGCCTAAAATTCCCTAAACCCTACTATTGAACCTGCCCGAAGCTTTTCCCAGCGTCCTTTTCTCGTACGTCGGCTCCCCTCTGGTTCTCTCTCGGTATTTAACTCACCGCCGCTCCAACCCCCGCCCCCGCTTCCGCCTCCCGTCACTGTTTGCCTTCCACCATTTTCGCAGAGCACCCTTCCAGTCTCCCGTGAAACCCTACCTGCGAGCTTCAGAAGCCGATCGGCGAGGGGCGCAGCTCTCCCTTCTATACCTGCGGTCTCCAGGAAGCAGCCGCCCACGCTCATCTGCTGTCTCTATTGGTGGAACCGGGTTAGCGCTGCCACCGTCCATTGGCTGGGGGCCTGCAACGAAGACGCCCAATTGGCCGCCGTTTCCGTCCTTTGGAAGGAGCAGAACCCGCCCCTCTCGCTTCCCCATCTATTGAGAAGTGGGGAAAGCTGGCAGGAGGAGGGCGAGGACGGCAGCTATTGACGAATGGGAAGAGTTGATGGTAAGAGGTGGTAGTAAGAGCGGCAGTGATTGGTTGACCCTCGTCCGCGCCTGGGCGGGAGCTGCTGGGAGCGGAGGCCGCGAGTGGGGGCCTAGCGGAGTGGAGGGGTAGCAAGATGGCGGCAGAGACGGTGGAGCTGCATAAACTGAAGGTACTGTGAAGGAGGGCAAGGGCTGACTGAGGCTTTTTCTGGGCACTGGGTTCTGGGAGTGGCTTGTGCCCTTTCCTGTGTTCTTTTTGTAGGCTTTTCCACTTTTTTACCGGCTCCCTCCGTAGTTCTTCCTCACTACGCCAGTCCTAATTTCCCGTGCTCCTCAGGGTTTTAACGTATCTGAATTGTTATTTCGGCTCTCTTCTTCATTGTGTCGTCCGTCATTTCCCCACCGGGTTGTGTAAGTGCCTTCCACCCGTTCTCTCCTCGTTTCTCGTCAGAGCTGCGTTACGTCAGTGGTCCCACCTCTGTCCCATGCCGCACCCTGCACCCCTTTTCGTCCCCTGGGTTGATGCTTTCCTCTCCGTTGTCCCAAGCTGATTCCCGTTAGCATGTGTTGGCATCTTTGTATATTTCTACCTCGTTTGGTCTCAAATGTGATCCAGAAAACCCACTTTTTTTTTTTTTTTTAAGATGGGGTTACGCCCCCGGAGCGGGGGCGGCTTTGGAACCTGAGGAGGGGCTTCAGAATATGGTCTCCCCATAGAAACCTGGGGTTTGGGAGATCTCTAGAGTTAGTAAAGGCACAGGTAGCTCGGATTTTAAAGTTTTTCGAGTTCTCTCACGCGGTTCTCCCCTGGCCAGCCAGCCCCCCTCCCCGCCCCCTACTTACCGCCAGGCAGACAACTCGCTCGTAGCTGTGATGTTTTGGAAAAACATTTTCGCGGTTAGGGTTATCTCTGCCCCATTTCATGTCGGGGATGGACCCTGCATCTCTTGGTGTCACCACTTGGTGACACTCTCAATCACCTGTTCTAAGATGTGCCTTGGGGATCTTGGTAGCCTTCTCACGTTTATTTTCATGGAAGGAAAGAGTAATTTCTTTTAGGGTAAACTGTGAGAATATCTTGATTAGTTGACCGTTTGTGGTTTCACAAGTAGTTTTCCCATTAAATGTTTTGGTCACATCATCCTGGGAATCTTGGACAAACCAAACTGACTTAGCTGAAGCTGAAAACTAACCCTTTAAAACTTGCTTAGCTTAAAAACAAACAAAAATAAGGAGAGAAAGGATAGGGAGAGATCCTTTTAGTCACTTTTTAGGTGACATTGATTAGCTTTTTGTGTGAAAGCTGAAAGATTTCTTATTTTTGGATTCTAAACTGTACTAGTGGGTCTTTTACCACAAGTAAGACAAATTGAGCAGCCACTTCCATTATATGTACACTTCTGTAAATTACGTTACCATAGTATTATGTATGTATAACACAGAGAAAAGGAATGTTTCAATAAATGAGATAAAAGGAAATATTAATAGAAGATAAAAAATTTCCCAATTTGAAACCCCTGGAGTAAGGCACCAGCCTTGTGACTTACCTTTATGGATTTGGTTTTGTATATGGAGTTCCTCCTTCCATAGAAGCTGTATTTGTTTGGACTTTATTAACTTTTATTTTGATCGGATAATATCCTCTGACCTGATTTCTGGTGTTATAGTTTAAGAGATCATGAGGCACCCCTGACAACCTAAAAAGTAAAAAGGATTCACTCTTTTAATCACATTTGCTTGTCTTTGCTTTTTCTCTAGAGCACTTCTTAACCTTTTGGAGGTCACAGATATCTTTGAAACTCTGATGAAAGGTATGGACCCTCTCCCCCAAAAAAGGCATGTACACATACTTTGCATGCGATTTGAGGGGCTTCATAAAATTACCATGTAGCCCTGAGGAGTCCATGGACCTCTGGTTAAGAACCCATGCCTTTAATTCTGACTTCTAGGACAGTTAATGTTTGGTTCCACTGTTGATCTTGATGGAGTAATCCTGACTTGGGTTGATTTAGGGTTATATCTTTTTTTTTTTTTTTTTAAGTCTTTCCATTTTTATAAAGAAATTTGGGGCTTTTAGAGGGGACCCTCAGAGGAAAGGAACAAGCTTTAATACAGGAAGGAAGAAAATTTGAATTGATAGTAAGTCCACATCACCTGCAGAATTCTAAAGATTTTGTAGAAATGCCATTATTCTAACACAATTATAGGGACTGAATTGTGGGTGAAAATGCTTTAAACTGTAATAGTACCAAATTCCCAATCAATAGTGAGAAAAGAGACTACTGCAGAGGAGAGAATGAGAAGGGTCTACAAGTGCAGGAGTGTTGAAAAAGTCAGATGTAATTTTGAAGCATAAAGTGCATATATGTTGGTGGCTTAAGATTGTAAAGGGAACTAGATGAATTGTGTTACTGCAATGGTAGATTGAAGTGGTAGTGAAAAGGACCTTTTAAGTTGTTCATGGCATTTGGTTTTTGTCATGTAGGCAGAAAGTGGGGAGTCTTTGGAAATTTTTAAAGAAGGAGCTGATGTGATCCATGTGTGTTCTTATGGCAGTGTGGAGGATCAGATCTGAGTGGGAGAAATTTCACCCCTACTAAAACTTTTTACCTTTATACCTACTAATTTATCCAGCTTAGTTTCTCACTCTCCAACCACAGTGGCTTTATTTTATTTCATTCCTCAGAATGAACGTGCTCATATAGTGCTAACTCTTAACAATAGCATTTACTATGTGGCAAGTACTGGTCAAAGTTGTTTACATACATTAACTGATTTAATTTTCACAATAGCCCTGGAAAGGAAATGCCTGTTATCCCTATTTAAAAAAAAAAAAAAAGTTATTATTGATTTGAGAGCGAGAGAAAGAGTGAAAGAGTGAGGAAAAGAGAGAGAAACATCCACGGGCTGCCTCCTGCAGTCTCCTCACTGGGGATCGATCCTGCAACTCTGGCATGTGCCCTGACCAGGAATTGAAGCAGCGACCTCTCTGAGAGGGTGTGTGGGACAATGCTCAATCAACTGAGCCACACCTGCCAGGGCTATCCCCATTTTAAAATCAGGAAAACATGGAAGTTCAGAGAAATTAACTGAATAACTTGTCCTAGGTTCCACAGCTAATGATTGGTGGGATCAAATCTAGGCAGTCTATCCAAAATTTATGTTCTTAATCGCTGCTCACTACTGCCTCTCCTTACCTCAGAACCCAAAATCTTTACACATGCTTTTCGCTGTAGTGCTGCTGCCACCCTCTGTTCCCCTCATTTTCATCTAACTAACTGCTAGTTTCCCTTCAGTAGTCAAAACATCATTTACCCAAGGTACCCTTAGGTGTAGGATAGGTTCTCTCTACCCACACATTGACAGACTACTTTTTAAATGCCTTCATAGGACTCTATACTTTTTGAAAAATTATCAGTTAAGTATTATGTATATGATCATTAATTGCCTTGTTTCCTTACTAGGTTGTAAGCTTCATGTGGACAAAAACTCTATCCGTTTTGCTTATGATTATTTCCCTGTACCTAAACTAATGGTTTACATGCAGGGGGTACTCAGTAACTATTTGTTAAGTGAATAAATTTAATAAGACCTGAAATAAGGTAATGGCTACTTGGAGGGGAATAAATTTAAAAGAAATTTGGGATATAAAATTGTAAGTATAGATCAGTTAGATGTGAGAGGAATGAAAGATGACTCCAAGATTTGAGTAGTGATACCTTCAGTCTAGTTTGGTAAGAAGAGAAGAAGCCTGTTTTGTGCAATAGAGAAGATAAGTTCAGTTTTGGGCTTAAGTATCTTTGAGACATGCACTTGGAGATGTTTGGTAATCATAACAAAACAAAATAAAGAAGAAAAAAATAACATGCTCTGGCTGATGCTTCTACCCTGTTTCCCCGAAAATAAGACAGTGTCTTATATTATTAATTTTTTCTCCCAAAGTTGTGCTAGGTCTTATTTTTAGGGGATGTCTTATCTTTCCATGCGCCAGGTCTTATTTTCGGAGGATGTCTTATTTTCGGGGAAACACGGTAAGTGGTTAGAATGTCAGCCTTCGCACCAAGGGGTCGAAGATTCAATTCTGGGTCAAGGGCATGTATCTGGGTTTTGGGTTTTCTTCCCACTCCCAGTCAGGTTCATGTGTGGTAGGCAACCAGTCGATGTGTCTCTCTCACATTGATGTTCTCTCTCCCCTTTCTCCCTTCTACACTGAAAAGCAATGGAAAAAATATCTTTGTGTGAGGATTAACAAAAAAACAAAAAAAAAAGGGAGAGAAATGCCTGGTAATCAGTTGGAAATGTGAGTCTCCTGCTCAAGAGTTGAAAGCTGATAATAAAGATTTGGGACTTTCAAAAAAATATTTATGGGGTGCCTACCATATGCAAGCTAACGGGTGCTGGAGATACAGTAATGAACAAAATAGACAAAATTCTTCCTGTTGTGGAGCTTATGTTTTGCTGGGGAAGGCACAATAAAATAAAATGTATATTATCAAATAGTGGTAAAATCTATAGTGAAAAATAGGAAAGAAGGACAGGAAGTACAGTGGGAAGAAGGGTATTGTAATTTATAATTGGGTGACAGGGGTGGGCCTCATTGAGAATAGGATGTTTAAGCAGAGACTTGAAAGAGTGAGCCTTATGCATAGTGTAAGAGGACTTTATAGGTGATTGTTATACTCTTAGAGATAGGAAACCAATAGAAGATTTTTGAGTAGAGGTATGACATGTTCTCACTTAAATTTTCAAAAAATCACTGACTACCTTGTTAAGAATAAACTAGAATAAGGTGCAGGGACCTAGAGTTTTTACAATAATTTGTATTTTAAAAGGCCAGAAGGGATTATACTCTAGATATATTTTGAAGTCTACCTTTGCCAGTGATTTGATTCTGGGAAGTGAGAAAACCTTTGATACAAGTGGAATGAAAAGCCCAAGAAGGAATCTTAGTGAATATTGGTATTTACAGGTTGAATGGAAGAAGTACTAGCAAGGAGGCTGTTGAGAGGTAAAAGGAAAATGGAGAGTGATAGATGTGAGCAATGTCAGCATCTTGGTAGTTAAGATTGGGCGTAAATCAGAGATCTGAACTAGCATATTGGCTTCACTATTTTATAGCTACATGAAATCTCTTTAAGCCTCATTTTCTTTATAAAATGGGATCATAATA